CAGTGCAGACAGAACTGCCAAAGGCTCAGATCCTTCAAAAATGAAGATTTAGGTTACCATAGCAGGCAAGGAACCATGACCAGGTGAGAGGCTTGCTGAGGACAAAGGGGAAATGGAATGGGTAGTAAAAGAAGGACGTTATAAACATCAGCTGTGACTACATGATCATTCAGAGAAATTAGGACAGTAAGAGTTATAAACATTTCTTACTTTGATATAAATATATTTGTTTATATATTAACCAATTCTTTCTTTCTCCTCTATCTACCATCTAATATTAAATGTGGTAAATGTAGTTATCCATTGTATTAGTCTCCTTGGGCTGTCATAACAAAGTCGCAAAAACTGGGTGACTTAAAACAATAGAAATTTATTCCCTTACCATCTGGAGGCTAGGAGTCCAAAATCAAGGTGTCGCCAGGGTTAGTTCTTTTGGAGGCTCTGAGAATCTGTCTCATGTCTCTCTCCTACTTGCTGGTGATATCCAGCAATCTTTGGTGTTCCTTGCCTCTTAGATGAATCACTCCAATTTCCACCTCCCTAGTTATATGCCATTGGTTCCTTTGTGTGTGTCCAAATTTCCCTCTTTATAAGAGGGATTGGTCCAATTACACCAGCAATTGTATTAGCTCCCATCTTAATCCAATATGACCTTTTTAAAACTTGATTACATCCGCAACTATTTCCAAATAAGATCACATTTACAAGGTCTGGGATTTAAACTTCAAAAACATCTTTTTGGCAAACACAATTCAATCTGTAATATCCTTATATCTCAGTATTTAAATTTCAGAATTTCAAAGGGAGAGTGGATCTCAAGTATAAGAGGAATGAATATCACCCCCAAAATGGATAAAATAACACATGAGACTATGCACTTTCGTTTTGAGAGAGGATTGGTATCTTTTCAACTGTGGAAGAGATAGTTGCATCTTCTTAGGTAGAAACATCATTTTCTAATGTCTTTGTTTGGAAGTTATATGTATGGTTAAAAGAAGTGTAAATGGATGGCAAGTTGGCAAGAGATTGACTGGGGTGGCTTTGTACAACATCAACTTAGCTGAATCAGAAACTGCATTTCCCAGAATTCCTTTTCCTATTTAATGCTGGGTTAAGGTTCGCCTTAAAAGAACTCTGCATGAGACTTGGAAGGCAGAAGTGAAGCAGTGGCCATTATACTATGAAGAGGGCAACAGGCACTATTGCCAGCAGCGCACATTTTCACCGACCTGGAATCTCACCTTGACTTAGGGCCACAGCTGTGATCGTAGCTCCTGAAGCTCTCTCCAGATCTCCTCCTTTGCTTCACACAAGTCCTGCACCAGGTACGTGGTCAGCAACATGGGAAAGGGCACTGGATCCTTCTCCAAAGTCACCTACATCATGGAAGTTGGTAAAAGGCAAATGTGCGTTCTAGGTTTTCCTCCTAATTCCAGTTCTTCCTTGTTCGCCTTTACTTCATCTTACCTTTTCTCGCTGGTAGCTCTGCTGACGCACAGAGACTTCAGCCCATCATCGGACACGGAGGCAACAGACTCCCACTGACTTCTTCACTAGATCCCACAGTTGTCTAACCCCACGTATCTTCCACCAAACACTGGCAAAAGTTGTCACACAGGAGGAAATCAGGAATGATGGAAAGAACTGGCATTCATAGTCTACCACCTTCATAGAGTCAGAAAATCTTCTACAGATAGGTTTAATTTTGGACAATTAGTTCTAACTACCTTCTTGTTGCCCATCTTTCTGGAGGCCAGAACTTGCTAGTCATTTTTGACCTCTCTTCCACCCATATCTATATATTATGATTCTCTCCAATTAGAGCATAAAACCAAACATCAACCCATATTTCCTGAGACTGGATGTTACAGGCTTGGGGAATAAAACATAAATATGTGTTGTGGCTTATTTACAAGAGCTTACTCACAAACGAGGTGACAACCACATCATCTCTATTCAGTTTGGCTTGCCAGACTTCTTATCTTCCAGAAGAACTGGTTAGAGCAATTTATTAGCATTCTATCTTAATCAACTTCTGAAGTGTGATTGTTTTCTTAGTTCTATACTCTGATATAGTTTTTGTTTGTTTGTTTTACTATAAACTCCCGTTTTCCCCTGTTCCCCATATTTTATCACCTTTTTGGAAGGTCGCCTTTCTTCATTTACTATCAACAGGTGATTTTGGGGTTACGTACACTTCTTTTTGTTTTTTTTTTACTTCTTCTTTCATATCTCCCCTTGTACATGTCCTCCATTTGTTAGCTTCCCTGCCTCACATCCTGCCTTACCTGTCTTTTCCAAAAGTTGCAGATACAAGCTCTTCCATGAAATGTGGACTCTACACCTTGGTTAATATCCATTGATTGGAAATGTATTATGTGGAAAAAAATGTTTATAGAGGAGCTGAAGCTGCTATTCTGTTTAATGTAAAGTAACAGTGTCTGTTGTATCTGTTTTTTTTTTAATTAGATATGTTGGATTCATTCTATTAAATTGTTAAGTTCATCCAGCATGCAACAACACTTGTTGGCCTCTGAGAATGATACGTGCATCAGTTAGTCAGAGACTGCTTCTCAAGAAGATAACAATGAATTTCCCAGCTCAGTCCCAAAGCTCCCAGGTACCAAGTGAGGCCCAGATGCTGTAATGGAACAGGAGTAGGACCCTGTGGGGCCTTCCCAGGGCAGACCACTCCCTCATATCCTCAGCTCGAGCCCTTCTTTGAAGTACCTAGATAATAGTATCTAAAGCACATTTCCTGAGTTGTTTTACAGATGCCAAAACCCCCAGGGCTTCCCTGGCGTCGCAGTGGTCAAGAATCCGCCTGGCAATGCAGGGGACACGGGTTCGAGCCCTGGTCTGGGAAGATCCCACATGCTGCAGAGCAACTAAGCCCATGTGCCACAACTACTGAGCCTATGCTCTAGAGCCTGCGAGCCACAACTACTGAGCCCATGTGCCACAACTACTGAAGCCCTCACGCCTAGAGCCTGTGCTCCGCAGCAAGAGAAGCCACCGCAATGAGAAGCCCACGCACCAAGACAAAGTGTAGACCCGCTCTCCACAACTAGAGAAAGCCTGCACACAGCAACGAAGACACAACACAGATAAAAATAAATAAATAAAATAAATTTATAAATAAATAAATTAATAAAATAAAATAAAACCCCCATCAAGTGGAAGAAATTAACTACTTGATGACCATGAACACATGGCCCGCAGACCTACTGGCACCTAAGCACTGATAATGTTAAGCCCTGTGACACTGCCCTGTTACCTCACCATCAACCAATCAGAGAATCATGCTGATCACATACCCTGGGACAAACCTCCCTCACCTTACCTTTAAAAATGCTTTGCTGAAACCCATCAGGGAGTTGGGGTGTTTTGAGCAACAGCTGCCCTGGACTCCATGCTTGGTGCCCTGCAATAAATGCTGCACTTTCTTTCACTGCAACCCGGTGTCAATAGATTGACTTTACTGCTTGAGGGTGAGCAGACGTAAGTTTGGTTCAGTAACAAAACCTGGTGAGTCTGGTTTCTAGAGCAATGGCTTGGTTAATCCATGTAGTTTTCATGAAGTGATTAACATTCCTCATGAAGAAATAGAGGTTAAATGACTCAAAACAGATTAGCAAAAAAGACTTGAGTCTCTCTCAGAATTCTTGGTATGCTGGTTGGCAGGATTTCTTTCTGCCCCAGGACAGTCTTGTTCTCAAAATCATAAAGTTCAAAAAACATAAATTATTTCCATGTAGCTAAAGAAGGGAAACTATATTCACTGTTCATCTTGTTTGTTTGTTTGTTTGTTTAATAAAAATGAAAAAAAAAGAAAGAAAAGAAAGGGAATAAAACTTACACTATTAGAACTTTAACATTTGGATTTAGAATAAAGAAAAAGAAATATCTAGTAAATCATTATGTATTTTAAATCACTGATTATATATCAACCCCTCTCCTTAAATATGTTCTAGCACCAAGAAAATTGTTAGTTTGCAGAGTAGAAAGCACCATAAGAGAAATTTACTTTTCATCCTAACACTTAGTAGTAAACCAAAATCATTCAAGACAGCTCTCAGTTAATTCCTATTAACGTCAGTCTCTACTTTTCTAATAAAAGAAAAAGTTAAATCACTTCTAATAGAAAAGCTATTTTTAAAATGTCAAAAATATTTCATTATATCACTTGTCAGCAACTATTCACAAGAATAGTATGTCCAAATGTAGTCGCATAGAATTGAAAATGCCAGAATTCTACTTTCTCACCTCAGGCAAATCTTAATTTGCTGTGAATCTTCCCTATGGTCAAATCCCTGGAGGCATCTATTTTAATAAAACATAGAACACATTTGAATCATGTTCTTCCCCTACCCCACTCTTACTCTGCTGTGGACTGGGAACTCATGGAACACTAGCTGTGTATTAGCCAAGTGTGATGGGGAAGCTGAACTTAGGAATCTGAGCTCAGTTTGCTAGCAAAAAAGTAGGAAGTTGCAACGTGTTGCAGTGTACACTATGTGGTTAATGTTACCAAAGATGTCGAGTGAGCAAATGACAGTGGGGGAGGGAGGCATCAATATCCCTACCTGTCAGATTGTCATAAATATTTATCAAAGAGCCACTGGGGAGATCACAGAATTCTAACCAATCTATCTGGCAGTGACCTAATCACCAAGGCTCAAAGGCTGATATAGAACCTTCTCATGCCTTTAAGGAGGTTACCTGAGGCTTCCGCTTTGTAAGAGGAATTACATTGGCAGAAGTGGAGGGCAGGGCTGTGGCAATAGAGGAGATCATGACTAGGCAGACTGGAGCTTTTTTCACTCCCTTGCTAATTCTCTCTGCTTCGCACTAAGGCCAGAGACTACTGTCTCTCCCTCATCTCTCTTTCCCATTATAAAAATGTGTGTTTATTTCCAATTATGTTACACGTACAAGTTACTGGAGCTATGAGGTGCTTGAACCTGAACTGAGGAAAAGAGAAGGAAAAAAGACACATCTCCAAATGAGTTTCATTTATATAATGAAAATAAATTTTTACACAATCAACAGAAACACACCAAGTTTTTTTTGAGAAAAATATTTTTAAATAAATTTTTGTCTTTTTTTTTTTTTACATTCTGATATACATATGTAACAAGGTTTATGGCACTGTAACCAGAATCAAATCAAAAAAAAAAGTTAAAGGAAAAAGGTGGGAAAGAAAGTAATTGGTTTTGTTTAATTCCTTTCTAGCTCCAAGCTGGCAACTTTGCACTATTTGTCTATCATTCAGCTGCCAGCTCTAACTCACTTGCACACTCAAAACACCATATTATTGCACAAGAAGCCAGTGAAGGCATATGGTATAATGGTCAGTTCCTTGCTATTTCAAAAAATCTCTTAAACCCAGAGAGGGGGAAAAAGTAATCCAGAGTATGAAACACATAAAATCAACAGTATCCTTTGTCTCTTTAAAGAATGTGAAGGGTTCTTAGACCACTTAAGCTGCCCTGATCATCTCTTTGCACCACTGAGCACAGCAGGGCTTGGTTTGGTTGGGTTTTTTGTTTTCGTAAGGACAGCCCAGGCAGATCCTAGGTCTTCATGATTCAACGTCTTTTCTACGTACTTTGGGTTCTTTTTAATTGGTTTAAAGTGTAGTATCTTCGGTCTATGAACCTGCACAGACTAGTTAATCGTAAACTCTACAAATAGCTTAAAAGGAAAAGGGGAAGAAACAAATTTTGTTATATTTTTATTGTTGACTTAAGAAAAATTACGTCTTTAGCCTCCCTGCTTTGTCAGTTGGCGGGAAGTAAATCTCAACGGCATCAAAAGTTAAATTCTTCTCACACTTGTTAAAAATAAAAAGTTTTAAACAAGTTTGTTTCCATTCACAAACTTTACCCCATCTAAAAAAAAAAAAGAAAGAAAGAAAAGAAAGAATCCATCCTCCTTCCTCTTCGTCTCCTAATGGAGAACAGTCATCCTTTCCAGCCAGACTATTGTCACACAACCGTCTCCACTCCCATCAGCTTTGGTGTAAGGATTCGTGGTGTCACACCGTTGTTTAGGTCTTCCTCAAACTCCAGCAACTGCCCCATGAAGTTAAGGTTTGGGGAAATAATTGGTCGTTTGCCTTTGACAAATTTATAAGCATCAGTCATGGTCATCCGCGTGTGCTTCATCAAGTAAGCGATGACAATGGTGGCAGAGCGGGACACCCCAGCCTGGCAGTGGATGAGCAGCCCCTTCCCACACTGGTGAGCTTCCTCTGGAACAAGGGAGAAAGGGAAGAGGTGCAGGGAAGGAGAAAGAGAGATGGAGGGAGAGAGGTTAATGTTTATCTAGACTTGACAATGCCATATTCTGTAGAGAGAGAAGACATTAAAATGGCTTTGAAACTAAGTATAGTTTACTAGTTAATCGTGTATGTTTATGTCACAAACTCCAGAACTGGCTAAAAGCAATATTAGTATGAATAAGAAGCTACATTTCTACCTTTAAAGAGAAGACTAGGTAAAGGAGTCATTCACAATAATAGCTGACTTCACAGGTGACGGTGGCCAACTGAGGTTGGAACCACAACACAATTAGCCTAATAGTCAAACAAGCTACTGGTTAAGTAGACCTCTCTGACTCAGGGTGTTAATTTCCATCACCATGTTGTGTCACTTGTCAAAACTAGTGTCATTAACAATGTCTCTCCTACCTGTGATAGAGAAAAAGCATTTCTTTTTTTATACTATAGGACTGCTCTGTGCAGAAACTGGTACTAAATGGATAAGAGTTTCACTCTTAGGAAACTCTGAAGGGGGTTAAAGGAACAAAACTCAACTAGGAAGTTACTACGTTCAGCTTCTCACTATCAAACCCTATTGTTGCAAAGTTAAAGACTTGCAGTTCTCAGGCATAGGGTGTCACCTACATCTGAACTGTCCAACCCCCTCTGCATCTACACATGCCTTTCCAACATGGCAATGATGCAGAAGATGAAGGAATTAACAGCAATGGCTCAGAATCCAGAGCAATTGAAGAAGACAATACTTTAAAGCTTTTCAGGTATATTAAAAGCCAAGGAGAATAGCTCTCGGGCACTGCCTGAATGGATTCTTAATGACACTTCTAATAAAAGGCATCCCAAAGAAAGCATCCCCGGAAAATATACCAATTAGATGAAGAGTAGGAAAGGAGGGGTAAAGGAGAGTCCTGTTCTAACAAAAACTACTTTTACTGGTTACCCACTAGTAGATTAAGAAAAGAAACATTGTGCAAATTTTCATCTTAAAAGCTCAGCAATTTAGCTTGCTTCCTATAGATAACAGTATTTTAGGAAAGTATCTCCTGTTTTCAATTTCTTCTCTTCAGCACACACTATTTAAGGACCTCCACATCAAGATGGGGAAGAATGGGGGTAAGAAGATGAGCCACAAAGGGCTAGGTCTGACCATGATTCCACCTTGTGGTGGACCTTGTAACTCCCCAGAGCCTCAATCCTCCTATCTGAATAATGGGAATAATTGTAACTAACTAGGCTCAGGAGATATGGGAATAATATCACCTGACTCAGGAATAACTAAACTGGCATAGTTAAACCCTAAACCTAGATTCTGCTTAGTTTATATTAGACTGTCTGTGAATGCTATTATGTTTCTAAAACCGGCTGTGTTCTCCTTAAAGCAAGACTATCAGATTTCAGTTTATCCAATGATATATAACAATGAGAATAAAATATTGTGCCTGTGCAGGGTATGATGCGGAATTGTTTTCGAGGTTAAATTCTATTTATTACTTGTTTTGTTTTCTTTCTAAAACACGAGGTAAACCTGAATAATCTATAAGGAATGTGGGTGCTTTGACTAAAATCCTCTTAGAACCTAAGCATATCTTATACTACCCATTAAAAGAAAAACAATTTCTTTCTTTTTTTTTTTTTTTTTTTTTTTTTTTTTGTACCCGGGCCTCTCACTGCTGTGGCATCTCCCGTTGCGGAGCACAGGCTCCGGACGCGCAGGCTCAGCGGCCATGGCTCACGGGCCCAGGCGCTCCACGGCATGTGGGATCTTCCCGGACTGGGGCACGAACCCGTGTCCCCTGCATCGGCAGGCAGACCCTCAACCACTGCGCCACCAGGGAAGCCCGAAAAACAATTTCTTAACTTGCCCCAACTGGAATTAGCTCAGATAAAATTGCACTCATAACATCATATATCAACCGGGAAGTTCCTCATCTACTTGGTGACAAACTTTTCTTCCTTGGGACTCAAGGTTTGATTCACATATCACTAATAAAAAATCTAAGGTATCTTTGCATCCACAATCATTGCCCGTTGAGAACCAATAGAGCCTTGTAAACACTGCCCCAGTGTGTTCCCAAAAGGCTCCTGGCCTCGCAGTCAAGAGCATTAGGCTCTGGTCCCTTTAGTGACCACTCAGAATTTCCTTCCAGATTGAACATTCTATGGTCCTGCAATAAATAAAGGCACAATTAGCAAGGAAATACCTGGGTTAAGTGACCAGAGCTGCCAATTCTACAGCAAATCCACCCATCCTAATGGTTGTACGCGGGCCTCTCACTGTTGTGGCCTCTCCCGTTGCGGAGCACAGGCTCCGGACGCGCAGGCTCAGCGGCCATGGCTCACGGGCCCAGGCGCTCCACGGCATGTGGGATCTTCCCGGACTGGGGCACGAACCCGTGTCCCCTGCATCGGCAGGCAGACCCTCAACCACTGCGCCACCAGGGAAGCCCGAAAAACAATTTCTTAACTTGCCCCAACTGGAATTAGCTCAGATAAAATTGCACTCATAACATCATATATCAACCGGGAAGTTCCTCATCTACTTGGTGACAAACTTTTCTTCCTTGGGACTCAAGGTTTGATTCACATATCACTAATAAAAAATCTAAGGTATCTTTGCATCCACAATCATTGCCCGTTGAGAACCAATAGAGCCTTGTAAACACTGCCCCAGTGTGTTCCCAAAAGGCTCCTGGCCTCGCAGTCAAGAGCATTAGGCTCTGGTCCCTTTAGTGACCACTCAGAATTTCCTTCCAGATTGAACATTCTATGGTCCTGCAATAAATAAAGGCACAATTAGCAAGGAAATACCTGGGTTAAGTGACCAGAGCTGCCAATTCTACAGCAAATCCACCCATCCTAATGGTTGTTAAATCCAAGGGTTTTTTGTTGCTGTTGTTGTTGTTTGTTTTTCTTTTTTTTTTCTGACAAAGGAGCACTGAACATGAGTGCATTCTTCTTGGGACAGAGGCCAGTAACAATCTGCTACAATATTTAGGAAAAGTACTGGGTCACCCTTTTGCGGTAAGAAAGGTTGGAATCACTTGGAAAAGAAAAAAAATTGTTGAGTACCTGCTGGGTGTCAGGTACTCCCCAGTGATAATTTGAGCCTTGCAACAGTTTGAGGCTTAGAAGCAGCGAAAGTTAAAGTTTAAGATTAGGGTTAGGCTGGCCATTGCTTCCTTCTAGAGATTAAAGCCTGCTGTTGCTAGAATTTTCTCTCCTTGGTAACTACATGGGCTATACAATTTGATCTTTCCTACTTCAGTGAGTCTGGGGTAAACTAAGGGAATCTAGTAGCATCTCATGAGCACTCAACTTCAAGCCTTTTTGTTACCCATTGTTTAAAAACTGAGGCAAAACAAACAGAAGGGAAAAACTACCACCCCCCGCCCCGCTCTTTCTCTCCTCTGTGCTGAGTAATGCGTAAAGATGTTCACTACAGCATTATGTTTCTGAAAAAGATCCTTCAGAAACAATCCTTCAGCAAACACTACCTTTGGCCTCAAGCAGTGGCAAATTAATTTAACTCAAAGTAAGGGAGATGTGGGTGAGTTTGGAGCGGTGTCATATTCACAATACAGCTGGCCCCGGGTACCCGCGGGGGATTAGTTCCTGGATAAAATTCACAGATGTTCAAGTCCCTTCTATAAAATGGCATAGGAAAGTCAGCCCTCTGTATCCGCGAGTTCGATCCGTGGCTGGTTGAATCCGCAGATGTGGAACCCGCGGATACAGAGGGCCGGCTGTATTTTACTCCCTGCAAAGTGCCTAGGGACGCCAGTAGACTACATACCCACGATGCCTGCTCTGGCCGCCAATTTCTTACTTTCTGCCAGTTCTTTTGAGATGGTGTTATAGAACATCTCAGTGCTAACCCCTGCCACTTTTTCACTGAGAACTTGAGGGATGTGGAGGTCTAGTTGAACGGATCCCAACCCAGTTGAATTATTGTTCTTTTATAACCATGGTTCCAACACTTGATGAGTTACGACTTAGGAGAATACTTTGGCTGCACCAGGTGGCAGAGCCTGAAAACACCTCTGTGGAGCTTTTTTTGCAACACAGGCGTAAATCTTGGACTTGATATCAAAGCCCAAGCCAGAGAGGAAAGGAAGGTGGAAGATGAGACTTCCCCGTAGGAGATAGTTACCAATGAACTCAAAAGCCTCTTCAAAGTACTGCCTCAGGTTCTGCTTGTTGCTGTCGGTCGCCGGCAGCCGCTTGTAGTTGAACAGGCCTTTCTCGTAGTGGTACAGGGGTAGGTGAGTGGTGACGTTGATGACGTAGCCAATGTTCAACCGCTGCATCGCATCCAGGTCCTGGGCATCCTGCTCGTTGCCGAGGAACAGGAAGGGCAAGATGGGCGTCAGCTCTGCATTCTCGATGTCGGGGGTGCTGGGGATGGACTGAGGTAGCATGCTCGAGGCCGCGGACGCGCCGCTCCCCACTTCCCGGCACTCTTGGAGCTGGAGGGAGTTGTCACAGAGGTTTTCATGGTTCTGCTTAAAACTGCTAAGTCCACCTGGAACAAAAAACACAGAAAGTGAGAATGACTACCCCTAGAACTTCAGAGCTGGCAGAAGATATGACTTTCCCCTTAGGAATGAGTGTGTTCAGTTGCTTATTACATTTTTTAAAATAAAACCAAAACACAAATGAAAGTCCATTTGGAGACGGAGGACAAACTTTGGAGGATATCACTGCATGCAGTACTTTGGAAATGTGCTTTTTATACAAACTGGGGCATGTTCCCCTGGAAAGAGTTCCACGAAGCATCAGGCAATTTCATTAGCAGCAAATTTGTTCTGCCCCAAAGAGCCATATGCTCAGTGGCCTATATAGAACCTTGCACTTTGGGAGCCCAGGAAGGCACAGATGACTTCCTTGGGTGTAGAATTTCTGCCTGTACCTGGGCAGTGTAGGTGTGTGTACCTTGCACTCTTTGTAAGCTCACCTTACCCAGAAGGCCAAGTTTGCTCCCAGTACAGCAGAGTGGTTACAAGCAGGGACATTGGAAGAACCAGGTTATCTTGGCTATAATCCCAGTTCCACCAATTCCTGCATCTGTGACCTGGATAAATTAATTTCTCTCTCTGGGCCTCAACTTCCCCATCTGTGAAATAAGGGTAATGGCATATACCTCTTAGTGTGATTGGGAGTCTGGAATGAATGGAAACCTACATAAAGTATGCAAACCTCCCCCTCATCAAATGCAGTGTCACTTATGAGAATGTATCTTAAGGAAATCATCAGACCAAAGATAGCCAGCTAGATGTATAAAGATGTTCGCTACAGCATTTTTCTAGAAAGGTCAAAAACATGTTTTTAAAAGGGAAAAGTTGACATGTGCACCCAATGGAATATTATGTAGCCATTAAAAGTTGTGAAAGGAATATGAAAACAGTGTTTCTGTTTAATATTAAATGAAAAAAGCCAGTTTAAAAACATTCACCTTACATGTGATCAAAAGTTGAAAAAACATGCATAAAAGAACACTGAAGTCAGGAAATTTATAGATCATAGTTTAATATTTAAACTTTTCCTTTAATATTTGTCAGATACGTTTGTGCATAAGCCCAAAGGATTATTACAGAGGTCAAATTATACAATATACATGTAAGGGCTATGAAATCAGAGTTGACATTATTAACTACCAAATGAGCTCTAATTCTTACCAACTAGATACACTCTGGCCTTCCCTTTGAACAGAGGGGGAAGTTGGAGATCTCCTAGAAGCTGAAAGCCACCAGAACCCAACATTGACCCACCTCACCCTCCCCCAGATAGATGCCTTGCTTTCTGTCTTGATAGTTTCAAGAGATAAAGGAGGAAACATAACGGGCGAACAGGATATGGTTGTGTTGAAATAAATACAAGAAGTCTATCTGTCTACCAGTTTCTGAACCTATGTCCTTCTCCGTTTCAAGTTTCATCTTTGGCAACCACAGCAGGGAGCTCCAGGCTGTAACCCAGACCAAGTCTCAGGGCTGTTCACAGCCAATGCACACTAGTTGTATAAACTGGGGAAGTCATATTTTCATTAAGATCCGTCATGACTCAAAGATCATTCAAAGGGGATAATATTATGACCACATGTGAGTATCAAAACCTGTCTTTGCTTTTGGAAAAGAAAAACAACAGCTATAAATTCATTTTAATTGATTGCTAGAATTAACTTCTGCCCTTACACCTTATTATTCTGCTATGAAACGATTAAAATAAAAAGTTTCTCTGGACCTAAAGAGATCATTTTTCAAGTAGACAGAAGAAATGGAAACCACCAGAAAAACTTCCTTAGTGAAAACCTAAACACAAATTTGAAATTGCCCGCTGTCACCATCACAAGCTCCACGAAAGAGACTAAAGAGTTATTTTAAAATCTGCTCAGCTTTGGCTCCATAAAATCCAAGTAAACAGTTCCACAGTGGTTCTGTAATGGGAACCTAATTCACTTTTTGTCTTTTTAAGAAAAAGACAGTTGTTACACTTTTCTGTATAAGATGAGAGGACAGAACAACAAAACAGATTCAAAAGAAGTCTTTAGCGTGGTGGATTGGAGGGGGGGAACTTCTCTCTGTTCTTATTTAGTGTACTCAAGCTGTAATTTGTCTTAAAAGCAGCTAGTTTTTAAAAAATGCATGCCAGAAAACCACACACACAGAAAAAAGCAGCATACAGCTTTTTAAAATTCTGTCTCTACACCTCCTTTCCCAATGACATCAGCTGGAGGCTCCCCACCTGCCCAGTTGCCATAGCAGTTACACAAAGACATACAATGACATCAGTTGGCATGATATCAGCTCTTTGAGTGCAAACAATACAAGAAGAACTACTTTGTTTAAGGCCTTTGGTGCAACTGTGTTCTGGGGAGCCAATGATGTAATGCTAACAGGTGGCATGGGCCTTCCATTTGCCTAATGGGGGGAAAAAACCCATGGGGGAGGGGAGGGGAGGGGAAGGAATTGGAGACAGACAGACACAAAATACTCCGAATCCCAGGGGGTGCCCACGTGCAAAATTATGTGTATATTGTATGTTTAAGCCATGTGGGAACTCTGTTCATCGAATCTTTGGAGGCAGAGTGGATAGAAAAGGAAATATTCTAATTCACACATATTAACTAGACGAGGAAACCCTCATTGAGGGATATGAACAAACAGTCTGTTCAGCTGCCAGTCTGCTGACCAGTGTCGGCATCAGCTCTCATTAAGGGTTGTGCACAGCTAGATACTGCAGTTAAAGAACTCTCTCTGGGGATGGCGCTTACAGCAAAATGAACCAGTAGAATCTCACAGTGGTGGTTTTGAGAGAGGTGTCTGTAGGGAGGATTGTTTTCTTCCCTTAGAGGTTTGGAATTGGAAGCCAGGGAGGGACGAAGGGAAGATGAGGGCTAATATGGTTCTCCCTTCCAACTACTTTCCCTCCACCCTACCCCATCACGTATCATAGAAGCCGAACAGACTGATCACTTAATGAGGAGTTTTGATTATTTCATATTTGTTATTACTACATAGGAACATTACAAGATAACTAACAATTGAAGTGGAAGCAGTGTAGCATGGTGGTTAAGAGAGGGGTTAGAGGCAGGCAGACCCAGGTTGCCTGTGATTCTGTCTCATGAGAGTTTGAGAACTGTGATTCTGTCTCATGAGAGTTTGTAAGACCTGGTATAAATCCCTTTTCCTCATTAAGCCTCAGTTTACTGATCTGTAAAGTGGACTTAATATCACCTATCCATAGAGTTGTGGTACAGGAAGCCTATGTAAACATATAATCAGGCATTTGATAAATAACATCTTATTACCCCAATGTCATCACTGTTATTGTCCTCACCTCCAGCTGATCTGCTGACTCTGAAGTTCGTGAGAACCCTAAATGCAGTGCAAGTGATTCTGAGGCCAGGCTGCTTAGGCCTGAATCCCAACACTGCCAAACACTGGCTCTGAGACCCTGCACAAGGTCCTTACCTCTTGGTTTCTCTGTTTCCCCACATATAAAACAGGAACACCTACCTCACACTACAGTCTTGAGGATTAAACTGATTCATAAAAATAAAGTACTTTGAAATGATATCTAGCACATATGAAGCACTTTTTTTTCATTACTGTGGAAAACTGCCATTTTAAAGATCTAAAAAGAATTCTAAGGCAAATACCATTTGATATCACCTATATGTGGAATCTAAAATATGACACAAATGAACCTATCTATGAAACAGAAATGGACATAAAGAACAGACTTGTGGTTGCCAAGGGGGAGGGGGTTGAGGGACGGATGGAGTGGGAGGTTGGGATTAGCAGATGTAAGCGATTATATACAGAATGGATAAACAACAAGGTCCTACTGTATCACACTGGGAACTATATTCAGTATCCTGTGATAAACCATAATGGAAAAGAATATAAAAAAGAATGCATAGATATGTATAACTGGATCACTTTGCTGTACATCAGTAATTAACACAACATATTTCAAAAACAAAAAGAATTCAAAAGAAGGCAGAAAAGGAGGGGAAAATAAGGTACAAATTGAATGAATAAAAGAGCTTCGAGATATGAGGTTATCATCCAGAAAAAATAAATTCTGCTTAATATAAAGACTCTCAATGATAATAGGCTAATGCTTCCAGAGTTTTTATTTGTAAAAGCTTATTGAAAAAGAATAAGGAACCAAGGTATCTGAGCAGTTTTAAAGTTTAAATAATATACTTTTATCATAAAGAAAGCAACAGCTCCCTATCCTTCTTAAACAAACACATCTGATTTCATTTTTTCTTTGTCCTAGCTTTCCCAAGAAAGCCTGTACGTCTTTGGATTCCTGGGTTTGCCAGAGGAGAATTGAGTGTTTTCAATAAAATCACTCTTCTCTCCTCCCTCCCGTCCTCTCCCCTGTGTCCCCAAGTCCCCACCAGGCTGAGTGATCTCTGTAGACACACAACTGCTCCCAGATATCAGTGCAAATATTTCCCAGGCATGAGCAACAGTGCTGGGGGCAAACATTTCAGACCTTATCTCAAAACCAGGTTCTCTACCAAAATAAGTATGATCAGCATGTGGATTCTGAATGGCAACAACAAAGAATACCCAGCACCCCTGCAAAATATGTAGAAATGCAACCGGTGAGTTTCCTCCAACGGGAGGTCAGTGAGGTGACAGTCGCACTAAAGCCACGGATTCTAGTTGTAGTGGGAAACCTCTCTTTGTAGATGTATTTCACCTCCTGTAGCTGTGTTGGCTATTGCAGCCCTAGAAACACAAGAGCCCTCTGTAATGTGATTCAGAAGCAGTGCTCTGGATGGCAAATTAAAGGAACCACATCCAAATGCAGAATCTATAAGCAAGAGATTTCCATCGTCCAAAGATGGCCAGCATTTTGGCACACCAGCTTTTGGGCTTCACGCTAAGTTGAAAAGTGAGCATTTTTCAGAAATCTAAGGAAAACTCTCACTGAAGGTCAGCAGATGACATTAACACCCAAAGAAAAGTGGAAGGGAACTCAAGTTGGACTTTTCTATAAGCTTGC